AATATAACAAATATTTATTAGCTATGCACACCTTACAAACAGTAATACATGAAATAGAAAAGACATCACTTTTAAAATCCATTGTTAAACCTAATATTAATACAGCAAATATTACTGACATAGCACAGTTACATTTTATGATGTATAAAAAAATACTAATTGTAGAAATAGTACTACCGTTCATAGATGCCGAACAGTTTGCCGTGTACAAAATGATGTCTTTTCCAGTTTTTCAACAATCTGAGACAAACAAGTCAATCGCTGCATACATTGAACCGCGGAATGATTACATTGTTGTATCAGAAACTAATAATTCATATTTCTTTATGAGTGAAACGGCCTTTGAATTATGTAACATCGTAAAATATTATAGAATATGTAGTGTCGAATTAATAGAAAATACCAAAGCATCTTGTGAGTTCAACATGCTAGTAAAGCCAAAAATCAAAACTTTATATGAATGTAATGTTAAATTAAGTCAAGATGAAGATTATTTCCTAATCAAAACTGCTAGCAGTCATCTCTGGTTATTCTCCACGAGAGAATATGATTCATTAAAAATTAAATGCACTAACAAAATGATATCTATTCCGAAGATTTCTTATGGCGTAATTGAACTCTCAAGGTCTTGTGACATATGGGCCGACGGAAAAGTATATAGAGGTGCGACCGGCAATAAAGTAATAAAAAATCTAATTATTCCGCCTTTTCGACTAACCCTTTTAAATATAGACCAGCGGTTAGACAGTACAATTAAAATTGAGATAAAACCGATCAATACCCTAACAACAAAAGTAGAATCAAAAACAACGAACTTGTCAACTTAGAACCTTATTTGTATCAGCATTGCAATTTTATGTTTAATTAGAAGCTCGCTAATTATGTTTATAGTATATCGCTATGTCAACAAAAAACAAAGTAGAAGAGGCACTACAGTAAGCGAAACATATATACCAATGTCGAAATTAGATACCGGATTTAGATACGATTTTACGGGGCCACCGTTTTACGAGATACCCCGCATACCTCCTAAAAAGGTTCATGGCTATGAAAATATGTTACCAACTCTATTAGAATAACCCAGGATGAAGAACTAAAGAAAGCATCGTCTGAACAAATAGGAATCGAAAGCTCAGAATCAATAAATATCAAAGAATAAATAAGTATACCTGTTATTGAGGGAGTCAGCCGGCTAGTTGAAGTTTTAGCAAAATATTTAGCTTTGCGGGGGGAACGTTATTTGTAGTGTTAGGCCAGGTGTGGGTAATAAAGCTTTCCTAGTGTGACTAAAGTAGGTCATGGATTGTAAAATGGTAATCATCCTGGGACATAAAAGTAGAAAGAAAGAAGTAGGGAATTAGAAAAAATCACTATTAAAACGAATAGAGTAAGAGGAAATTAGTTAGTCCATAGAAAACAACAGAGCAAGCAATTAATATAATCCAGTGAAAAATGTACGCTCAGTATGTTTCCATCAAACTCATAAGTGAAAGAGGATTTTGCCACGGTTTTCTCTTTAACAAGAAAAGTGTTATGCAACGAGATCCTCTAGGACTGTTCGAAACGAGTGAAAACTACTGTTGGACACCCGAATCGTTCCATATTTATCCCTGGGGAGCTTGCCGCTGGTTGAACAAAACAGCAAGTTAATACGGATACAAAGTGCGGACTTGCCAGGCAACCAACACGTATGAATTAATCGGGGAAATAGTATATAATATCTTATCAGAATTTCAAGAAATATGCAAGGAAAGTGTAACGAAGATGGGATATTCACTGCTAGGTTCAGTAATACCAGAACTCACAGTGGCATAACAACAAGCCAGAGGCAAACATTTTACATTAAGAAACAATAATGAGATATTTCAATATCCGGAATATCTTACAGTACCAAAGGATAGTTAATTCAGGAGCCAAAATTTGCTATTTCAAACCGTGAGTCAAAGTACTGATATCTTCATTCAACATCTATTTAAGATAGATTATGGTAGTCTTAATACAGATAACCGCCTTACGTTTGGATATTATGCAGTGTTAAGTACTATTATTAGCAGTACGTAATTGTCGTTACTGCACGGCGTTACATTTAAGCAAACAGTGTGAGGACGTGTTGATGCAAATTTTGGAGTGCCCCTTTTCCGAACATCGGAAGTCATTAGAAAATGATGACGAAAGGTGCCGATTCCATCAAGGAGGTAGTGAATTAATTCAAGCGTGGAATAGGCAAGTAGACCAGTTATTTTCAGAAAACAGTAACTATTTGCTAAATCTTAGTGAATAAATTTTTTTTTGGGGCTATCTTTATATAAAAATAGAAATAAATAAATAAATTATTATTAGAGTGAATTTATACTGCAATTTCCTGCAACTTCCAAATTCGAATAAATTAAGTGGTATCTAGCAGTAGGAAAGAAACAAAATTAGAATTTTATAGCTAGATTAATGATTAAGTTCCCGGTTTGAAAGGTAGAGTAAAATAAAGGGGACTTAGTTGCTAGTAAGACAGCATAGTGTCAACTAGTTTTGTGTCTGTGTCTATAAGCAATTGTATAACATATTCGTGAGTAGGGTCTTGTAAAAGTTGGAAGAAGTTTATGAAGAAAACCACGGATTTGTGATCACAGAAGAAGAAGTGATAAGTGATCTCTTAAACTTGTTCAACAGTCCGGAACCATACGACAACGTGGTTTTACCGGAAATGTATCGACGAGGAATCATCTTGTGGTTAAACGGCGAAACAGTAAAAATGGGGTGACTATCCAGAGCGGGTAACCCAACAAATCAGGCCCAAGCCTTAGGGCAGATTTGCTATGACAGCTGCGAAGACTACTGAAAGGCATCGGAGGATTACGCTCGTATAATGGGATACGACCTAATCCTACCACTAGTACCCGGACCGGATATAACGAACAAGCAGCTTCAAATCATCATGAAAAGGTGGCAGTTAATATACGAAAACGACCAGTTGCAGTATGTAGAGTATGTTCCTCGACCACCGGATGAATGTACAAGAGAAGATATGCAGATATGGATAGACTATCTTGTAGCATATTTTCATGGAGAAAGGATCGAACACGGAAGAACATACGCCGAATTTGTACATCTACCTTATGGAGATGTGGGTTTTGCGGACTTATTAACTTTTTATAACTGTGTACAGTGCTCTCGACCTCTAGCTGTGGCGTTTTTGTAAGCTGTGTATTTTAAAATATTTAATCCACGGACCGAAGAATATCTTCCTCATCTGTTGAGAGTGCTGGTCAACCGCCCATAAAAATGCCCTTCAACCCGGAGAAAAATGCCGTATATGTAAACCTGGCACCATTGGAGAAGAAATATTTCTAAGAAGATTAAACGTAGTGTGGAGTGCTGGTTTCTTGCCTTTTGAAAATTACAGACTTTATAGTGCTTCGAAGTTTTTCTCATTCAAACATATATATGTGTAAAATTATTGGGTGTTTAGTACGTAGTAATTATTGTAGCTTCATTATGTGCAAAGTATAAGTATATTATCTTGATGTACGCAATTTCAAATAGGCAGGTCCAATTTGTGAACGCCCTGTGTCGCTGGTCTTCAGGGAAGGGCGTGTTACGTCGAGGACGAGTCAGACTATTTTATGGCAGTGAAATTTGAATTTTTTATGGAAGGGGAGTTCCTGTAATTAAAAGCAATAGTCATTTAATAGCTGACTTTAATCTCAGTGACGCACTTACCCCTTCTGAGATTAACCCTTTATCGATTAGTTTTTATATATTTTCTGCTATAAAAGAGAACACAAAACAATTGTAACACACACTCTGTATTCTACTCTATGACACTACGCACATTCTGTAATTCGATCAATAAATATTATAAATCTATTTCTATAATAACTTATTTGAGAGTTATACCTAATCAATGTTCATCTCTGGGTTCTGAGGTACGAGTTTCTGGACCAGTTAAACTGCAGGTAAATTATTTAATTATTACTTATTCACTCGGTACTTTAGGTACGTTGCCGCCCTCCTTTCGTTTGAGTCTCGGACCCGTGGTAAAGCGCTTGCGTGTAGACCGAAAAGAGACAGTCGCGTTTGAGTAATTCTTGTCAATTCGTGGCCGTTACGTGAGACGTAACACTCACTTCTACGGGGCGTCCTGAACGAGGTTCATCTTTTGTTGTTGTACGGCCGCGTTTAAATTTATTTACCCAGTTATAAATAGTCTTAAACACAGGGGCAGACTTGCCATGAACGGCGTTCAACTCAACTATGATTTCTTTTGGTGTAAGGCCTTTCAAATGAAAATGTTTTATCACCACTCGAAACTGTTTTCTCCATTTTTCAAATAAACCAATAACTTTTTGTTCAACCAAAGCTCACAAAAAAACGACCTTATGAATCGAACTGAAACTTTGTACGATATCTAGTTAGTAGTATTGCTTGCCAAAAACATCATAATTTAAGCGTGACGAGCGCTATCTCTTGGATTTTGTAAAGACTTATTGAGCCCTCCTCGTAACAAATCTTTTCGTTCAAATTGCGATAACACCTTTATGCATTTGAGCATGCGTAGTGTAAGAATCGTGCAGATGAAAGACTCCCTATTTAAAAAAAATAGTTATAAATAAACTATTGAATATTATTAATTGAAGTCAACTGAGCAAATTTAAACGACTCAGGCACAATATTTTAGAACTCCAGAAAATTAATCATATTGTATAATAAAAAAGATATTGAAGTTTGAAATCGCAGTTGGTAAAATTATTGCTATGAGTTTATCACGAAGAAACTATAGATGAGCTAAAAATTTGCAAAACATAATCGGACTGGACAATTAAAACGCTACCGGCTTTTATATTTTTATTATATTTCACATTAATTATGCACGCGGAATTAGATGAGGTCTGTACGAATTAATACCCGATTGTATGTGTACATATAGCTACATATGTATATGGCAACGGTTCTGACCGAACGGACGGTTTAAGGTTTAGGGTTTGATTATCTTGAATATTAAGCATATTCATGTTGCATTGCAAAGTGTAAAAGAATAAACATAAATTTCTTTAGCTTTGTTTTTTGTATGAAAATTGGGGAAAACTAAATTTTTATCTAAGATATTCTTAACAAAATTAATTTAAGTATATATTTAATTGCGAACTTTGATAGGAATACTGAAACTGCCAATAAAGTACTTGTTCATCCTTGAAGTCTTTGAAATCGTTTGGTTAAATTCAACATTATATTTATTATGTATAAATTAATAAATTGTTGATGGCAGCTTTTTGCTTTCAATAGTCAAGACTTCTAAATTTTGATCTACTTACGGCTTGTGAATTATCAATAAAAATTATAACTATAATAGTACAAGTAATAAGATGATATTAATATATTGTAAAATGTAGCAATATTAATAATAATTATTATATTTACTACTCATTCAAAATCAGCTATAGATTATTTGTATATTATGCTTTAAAAATTGGCAAACATAAGTGTCATTTCTTGAAAATTTTTTGTTCTGTCTGAATATTTTTTTCAAAAAAGCTGTCAAGATAAAATAAACTAGATTCATTGTATGGAAATTAAAAAGAAAATCAGTTTCATTTCTGAAGATTTAATCATATCAAAGAAGTGTAAGTGTTTAAGTTAATAGCCATTCAATTTCATTAAAAAATGTATAAACCAGACTTGAAAATGTTTTAGTGATTTCATGTACAGAATTATTGAACATCATGATGAAGTTGAGTTGAAACTGAATCTAATTGATTTAAATTTAGACTTTGATGCAACCTTAAAAAATGGTAAGTGATTTTTGATTCAATATACCTACCAATATACTATTTACTCTAATTTTTATATATTTTCATTCAAATTAGATATCACTAAGATATTTTAATTATGATTGTGGTATTATTTTTATACTGCAAGTTCTATATCAATTGATTTATAAGCCTAATCAAAATTCAAATATAAAATTGCTAAGTTATCATAGAATGTATACAAATTACAATTAATTTTGTCGTACATTATAAGATATTTTTCTTTACAGTTTTTTCAATCATTTGATTTTAACAACTAGTTATTATTTGAATATATTTAAAGTCCTGTTATCAAATTATTATTACATTCTTCTGAATTGTATTAAGTGCGAGTGTTTAAGTTATTATTATATATTTTTTTAAATATAGTACCATTGTTTACTTGTTGTCACTTATTCTGTAAATTAATTTATATTTTTATATACTCATATAGTATTCTAAATTTCTGTTTATATGTGTTATGATGTACAAATAGGATATATACAAATTAGTTAGTTTATCACATTTTTAATAAAAGTCAATTCAACAGCAGCTGTATATCATAATGCTTTTGTTGACTAGAATAAAATTTTTAATTATTTTTATTTCATTTGGATTAGAGAACTTTGACTAGTTACAGAATTTTCTACCTAGTTATAATAAATTATAAAATTAAATTCGTATAATCTATCCTCATAATGATTTTTGTGCAATTAATATAGTTAAATATTTAAAAATAAATAAATATAATTTTCTGAAATTATTATCCAATTAATATTTTATGTGAATTTTGCTTAAGCCACTTGATGTATAATTTTATTATATACTTCATTGTACTTTATTAATTATCTATTGGTTACTTAGTGAATTTTGCAAAGGAACTTTAGTGTTATGCATCTGATAATATTAAATCAATATTTTAGGTTTTTGAAATTTTTAACAATTTGGAGTGAAATATTGCTCAAATGAAGGTTTTTTCATCTCAAAATATTTATCTAGAAATTATTGTAATATTTTAACAAAATTTTATAAATATAATACATGAGAGATGATAATTATCTCATCAGTTAAACTCTAATTTTTCTATCAATGTATTCTTGATGAAGTTTGAGTTCATATAAAATTTTATAACTTTTAATTTGAAATATCTATATATGTATATTATGAAAATTAAATTAATAATCAATGTTAATACTAGCCTAATATATTTTAAGGTGATAAACGATTTCGATTCTTTTAATTATATCTTTTACTTATGTTTCATTTATATTCTTTTTACTATTATTTCAACAAGAAAATAGGTCACCACTTTTTTGTCTTTTAAATACTGATAAAATAAGTCCTTAAACTTAAAATATTGTTGGTTCTATTATAAGTTATTATCCAAAAAGCCATTATTTATAATATTAAAAGTAAGTTAATTATTATTTTAAGAATATTTTCATATTCCATGCAATTATTTTTTACCACTGACAAATAAATTTTAGGAAATATGGAACTGCTAGATTAAATAGTTTCCAAGTTATAGCCTTATAAAAACATATTAATTAATTTTTTGCATGTAAGATCCAGAGCATTCATAATAACTAATTTTTTTCCCTGAATTTTCATCTTGAAATATTCAATATGGCAAAAGTTACTTATTATTAAGGAAAATTGATAACAGTTTTTGGAAAGACTACGTTTAAAAATTAATAAAAGTATTGAACTAAAATTAAAAAATAATAAAATTACCTTAAACTTTCTAAATAATTACAACAATAACAAGTAATTTTTTTTTCAAAGTTATTTAACTTTTATTTTAAATTATTGTAAATAACTCAAAAATTTTTTTCTTTATTCTTGCTTCAATGAATTCTTGAAGTTTGCTTCTTTTTTTTTTTTTTTTTTTAATTTAACGTCGCTCTATTTATGCTCCATCAGTCCTAATCAGCGACGGAGGCTTGCAATGTGTTTGAGAACAAAACACATGAAACTTTTTTCAGTGGTGCTTGTATCAGCTGGGACTGGGAATCGAACCCGGGCCTACCGGGTGCGAGTCCGTTGCCCTACCGACCGAGCCATTGCAGGTCTGAAGTTTGCTTCTATAGCAATCGGTGATAAAATTTAAATGCCTGATATATTGGAAGAAATGTTACCATTCAAAAGAAGATGCCTCAGCCTACGTATTGTTACAACGGCGCGGCAGCCCAATGTGCCTTGCAGCATGAGACCTATCGGCTTTCTCTCATACCGCTGGTCAAAAAAACTCGACTAAACTATAATGTTTTCCTCAAACTATTTTATTGTTGCTTTAAATAAGGCCATGTTTTCTAAGGTGAATTGTACAGTCTGTATCCATTTACTATACAAAATTTACTGATTTCTGTTTGATTTATGAGTATTTTGCTGATGACTTCATGAGCATTACTTACTTCCACATCTTCCACACATTTCGAAAAGAAATCGGCTTGTTTTCCCTATTACCGAAAACAATGCTTTCTTTTTTAAAGTCATTTTTTTCAGTAAAACAACTATTTTGTTTGAATTTTAGACATTATTTGATACACATTTATATATTTTAAGACGAGGCGGGGGAGCGGGGAAAATAATTCATCGATTTTTTCCTTTCTCGATGGTTTTCACCAGCGGCGTAGCCGGCCGGTTCGCGGCTTTTCTTTTGTTATTGAAGCAAACAATTTCGTATTGAGCAGGCGATTAACGTCGCGAACTGGGGGGGTGGGGCTGCCTCGTATAACTTGCACTGGTCTTATTGGCCACCTGCAAGCGTAGAAGGAGCGCGAAAACCCTAATAACTACGTAAGGAATAAGGGCGGTCGGCTAGTCAGATCCTCGGTAGGCGGCTCTGCTCAGGAGTAAGTAGTCGGAAGAGGAAACTCAGACCTCCGTGACCTCGAACACCACTCTCAGGTGGTGTCCGACGAGGCTCTCGTTCTCTTTCTTTTCCCGTGGCACACACAATGAAAAATGGCTCCTTTGATTCACACACTGGTTGAAGGTTCGATCCGGGCTCGGCTACGGCTTCCAGGAGAATAGCCTATGGCTAGCGCAGCGTCGCGTCTGTTTCGCTCCTCTTTTCCTTTCGTTCGTAGATTTTTATCTTGTTGGCTCCAAGTGGCGACACTTCGATTATCAGTGCCATCTATTTCATTATTTTTTACCACGTAATTTTACTACTTATTAATTAGTTGGTGTCTAATTATTCTATTTGTCGGTCTACCACTATCCTATTTGCAATTGGTCGGTCAAGGTGCACGCGTGGGTCAATCTATTCGTTATTAATTGTCTATCATTCATCCTTTTTGCGCTCATGCTCGTTAGCCCTACTGGTCGCTCCTATCAGCGTATCGGTATCCCTTCTCTTGCCTTCTCTATTGGTTGTCTCACTCACACGCACGCTCTCTCTCTTAGTTCCCGTTCGCGTCTACTTATGTCCCTCCTCGTTGTCTCGCTGACACTCACGCTCTCGTTTTTGAAATGGAAGCACGAATGTTTTTCGCTATTAATGAACCTGCTGGGCTTGTAGGTGGTGACGTTGGCACGCGAAAGAACTTACGATGGAAAGGAGAGAACGCAGCATGGAAATAACACGGGCAATTTATTTAATAACAAATTTTATTGCCGATCCATTTAGAACGAAAATAAAATAAAAGAATATACAAAGAAAGAACAAAAATGACCTCGTAATGACGTGTCTCCAAGGATGAACATTCGATGGGTGCGGGCGAATAGATCGACCGCCGCGGATCGGCACGAATGCACGCCCACGAAATGGTGAGCTTCCTTCGTCCGATCCTGAGTACCGCATAATGTGCACAATCGTGGCACTAATGCATAATTCTGCGAATTCCGCGAATTCTGCGCATGGTTACGGTGATAGTGGAGTGAGAAAGAAAGAGAGAGAAAGTGGACGCTGTTACGTACTGCTGTCGCTGCTCTTGCTGTTACTGTTGTTGCCTCTGCTGTTGCTACCGTTTTTCCTACTGTTGTTCCAATTGTTACTCGAGACGCTGGTGGCTGCTTGTGAGGTGCCGGGAAAGCTGTAAAGAATCGGACAACCCGTCTCACCAAACTTCGATAACGCGTCCCACATAAAATGGCGCAGCGATCCACACTGCCGAAGGAATGCTGTTGGTCTCTTTGCTGCTGTTACTTGTCTGGCGTCCTACAATAGATAGAGTGAACGTTCAGGTAGACGTTCGTATGCACTCACTCGCTCATATGTTGAGCTACATAATCTTTTCTCTCCCTCTCTTTCCAGCTTTCTGTTTCTCTTTTCTCTCTTGTGTCTTCGCCTCTAAAGTAGAAGTCCGCGTCAGTCTTCACTTCTGGCTCCGATAATTCGCACCTCAAATAAACAAACCGGACGTGAATGATACGGTCAAGTACATACATATGTACGTCCGGTTTGACGAGGACACGTGCGTAGGTACCAAAAGGCAAAGAACGAAGTAGAAATCGCTATTAAAGCGATTTTCTCCGTCACATACTGCATTACTTTTTAACAAATGATTGACGAGCTTGTGCTGACTGGTATCATGGTTGCATGGACGAGCTTGTTTGAATTATATATTGAATGCGTTACGCTGTTTTGTTGTGTGACGAATTTTTACGTTGTATCGGTTACTTGAGCACGCTCCTTCGGCGTTTCAGGCCGTAAAGAAAAAAAACATAAAAATGTACAACAGTTATATGGCGACCAGCTGGTTGTTCGAGCTACTTTTCTTGGAAAGCTTTTTAGGAAAGTTTTCAATTTTGATAGATCTTATTGGTACTTCACTAATTATTGCCCTCTTTATTTGGTCTGTATGGATCACTTATGTTCTGTTTTTCTTTTGTATTTTGACATTATGTTCTGAGTGTTAGATTCTCGTTGTGTGTTATCATGTCCTCATTAGAACGAATATGCGCGCACATTTACCAAATAATACCTTATATGATTAAAATTCCATTGAATCCTGTTTCACTATGTTATACACGTGTTGTGCCAAGAGTACCAATTC